CAGATGCTTCGTAACATCGGATCCCGCCACTGAGACACATGGAACCATTCCACATCGCACAATATATTTTCATAATATCGACATTTCCTATTCGATCAAGAGAATGGTGGTTTTCATAGACCTATAACCCACAAACACTGTATTATGCATCATCCCCATTCGAGCTACATGCCCAGCCCAGTGCAATTGTCTTGGTCCAATTAACCTAACAACACTGTCAGTTGCACAAATCAGACTCCGATGTTCCCAATTTCTAGCTTATTAAATCTACAGTTTGCCTTTTCTCTCGGTTTACGAACGTTCGAATTATGAACGTCACAATTCATTCAAAATTTCTTAAAGTCGCCAATAGATAGAGTTCCTTATAAAACGTATTCTTCATCTTCTTCTATGGCTCTCCGGCCCGTATTCGGTCCATGGCCTCCTCAATTCTCCTCTTCCATTCGGTCCTCTGTTAAGTCCGTCTGCCAAACGTATAGTGAACATAACTGTGAGATTTAAATAAATAAACTTTTAAGAAATGTATTTATTACAATAATTATCAGAAAATTATTATATGATAATTATACTGAGCTGTTCTTGGTTAATAAAACTAATCTAGCCAATAAAAAGATGGTTTAAATGCCACGCCTCGTAGAATGTTTTCTCGTGGGAAAGAAATTAGTGATTTCCCCTATTATAATATAATAGGATCATCATCTGCTTGCGATATTTAGTACGTGATTTTAATGCTTTAAAATGGCTGCTAACGTATACGATACGTATCGTAAAAACTCAGGAATGCAAGATACACATAAGGAACAACGTCTTGGATCGGAACTCGTTCGTAAACAGAGAGTTGCATAGTCAGACCCACATTTCACAACCACACAAAGCAACACGTAAAATTCTTTTCCAAAATCCTCATCGTTTTAGAAAGAATCCCAGTTCTGTAGCTTCAAAACAAAACACACTAACATCGCAGTGGTCCAATTGACTGTCAGGGATTATAAAATTCCAGTCAAAACTGAACGTAGTCCACGACATAATTGTAAACCATTAATATTTTCGCACAGTCGATAGACAGAGGTCACAGAACTTCAATATATTTCCCTGTACGTCATATTGAAATTAGAGCAAAGGTTTCATTTATTCCACGCCCTTGTTTAACTGTGTCAAGCGAACACGTCTCGAAGATTATGTCTCGTAAGTGACACTGTTTATTTCCTGACGTATCTTCCGAACTAAAATTAAACTCAACGTAGTTTACGATTTGAAATTCAGGCAGAAAAACTGCAGAGTTATATTTATAGAAAATAAAATCTACGTAAGTATTTCCAGTTGAAATCACTAGACGGCAAAATCTATTGCAGAATGTGATGTGGGTCATTAAAGTAGACTTCAATTTATGCGTTAAAACTTCTCGGAAGAAGAAAATAGACGAAAAGAAATAATGGACAAAAATTCAAGTCTTACGTTCGTGAAAATCGGCATGAAGGTTACGCGATCCGAAGTTACGTACACCGACACACAGAACGTTACAGCCGTGAAGCATTTGTAAAGGTTGTTTACCTGCTAAAATGGCAGTGCCCAGTCTGACCACCCAAAATTTACAAACGAAAGGTAATGAACTTTCGTGTTCCGTAAAAACCCGGGAATTTCTTGACTGCCTTGGCGACTATAAGTTTCTCAAGAAGGGCTCTGCTCCGTGGAGTTGCTTAATTACTGACCCACCTGAGTACAAACGTATCGCTAGTTCAGACTTTCAGTGTGTGAAAGTTGTCAGATATGAGGAACTTCGCGCTACGCCATGAAATTCCCCGAAGCTTGCACCTAAAAATTTTGCAGACTCGTTTACAAACTTCGCCGTTAAAAGTTTTAATTACTCTGCGTACAATGGAAGGAGCCACGGTGGTCTAGCGGTTAGAACGCTGGCCTTGTAATCCTGGGGTCTCGGGTTCAATTCCCGGCGGTGCCCGAATTTATAACTTGTGTTGGGCAAGGCCGTGGTCTAGGCAACACGGAGTTTTCCTCCGGGGGCTTCCCCGGTTTCTCCGTGGCATCCCAACAATTACTCCATTCACACACAGAAGAAGGCAATGGCAAACCACTTCTGGATCATCTGCAAAGAACGTATATGAACAGGTCCCAGTCCGAAAAAAGGATGGAAGGATCCTGTTCATATGGACCTGTCGTCAGACAGAAAACTAAATAAATATACAATAGAAGGGGAATTGAGACTAAAATTTCTATTTCCTTCACGAAACGTCGGTTTTTATGTTTGCGTAGGAGCGAGAGGTCGAGGGATGTTCCATCAAGTACAATCTATCTCCTTGCGTGAAACTGTTTCAATTCACTGTAGCACGTACAGGCACTGACGTGTCGCGGACCTCCAAAAACGTGTTTCTTTTTAATCTTGAAACTTCCCTTTCTCTTAAAAGTCTAAGATCTTAAAATTTGATATAACTTAGCATTTATATAGGTTACGCACGACTGAGTAAGTGTTGTAGGTTGGGGCCTAAACAAATTGAGTATAGAAGAGTTTTACGCAAAACAGGGCTATAAACACTTGCTGGGTGTCTTCGTTACCAATAAAAAAGAATGCAAGGCTCTCCGATCAGAGCCCGTGTAGATAATTTTGCTACGTTTATGTTAACTAAACGAAATGCAATTTACAGTACCTCATGCAATATCACACAGGACAAAATTTCATAACAAAACGATGCCAGGTCACATTTTATTTTTCGATGGAAACAGGTAATCTTGTACGAGGTGCGATCGGAAAGTTTATAGACTGTGTCAATAGAGGGCGAACCGGATGTATTACGAGCTTCTGCCGCTAGGGGGTGCGGCCTACATTCATAGTGAATCAGTGTGCCAACCGGCATCATCGAATTAGCATTTGTTTCTTAGTTACGGGCGTTTTGGTAGTGCATTACACCGACCCTCCTGCGATTTCGGAATGGCGGATTTTCATGAACAAAGAGTCTTCTAGGGTGCATTTGAGCCTGAGAGGAGGAGACCGCTGGGGAGACCTAGACGTAGATGGGAGGATAGTATTAAGCGGGATCTGTGGGAGATAGGAGTCGAAGGAGACTGGATTTTGTTGGCCCGATGGAGGGCTTTGGTTTATTCGGTGATGAACCTTCGAGTTCCCTAAGCCAGGTAGTTAGTTAGTGATGGACGGAAAACACAGATGAATATGTACGTCCATCGGAATCCATGCAGGGTCACAGACTTCTTCCTCATGTAAATTATTGGCCTTGGAAATCCACTTGTACCAGGGCCGTAACTGAAACATGACGTTAGAAGTTTCTTCTCCAATCACCATATTCGTGTTTGTAGCGGGAACCGGAAAACCCTGCTCACGTTACGAAATATAAATTAAAGAATGCTGGAGCTGCAGGTATCATACGAACTGGAGATTTGTGCGCATATTTTAACCTTAAAGTGTACGTGTAAGGAAAATCCGTGTGTGTACACAGGCCTTGAGAGGCTTTAAGTGGAAGTTTCAGATAGTTTTGAACTTTCCAAGGTCAGATACTTGGAGAAACTAAGTGGCAGCACCTGTTCGTCACTCGTTTCCTTAAAGTGAACTACATCGATACATTTTAACCTTATAAAACTGACGAAAGGATAATTGGATTCCACAAATATTCGACTTTGAACTTCTGGACTTGGATGAACGACGTAATTACGTACGAATTTTTAAAGCCTGGTACAACATCAGTGTTCATTGCGTCGATTTAGAAGTAACTGTAATTTTTATGTCTTCAAACATGTTAGCTTTATTTATGTTATGAATCATCCGAATGGATCTTGTTTGACTTGTGTCTTCCGTGGCCTTGTACCGGTTTTCTTGGACCAAATTTTGAACTCGGTCAGAACCAGGAACCGCTTTTTAAACTAACGGAGGCGTAGGAGTTGCTTTTTGATGTATTTTCACTTATACACATTATAATCTCTAATTAAGATCTTCTGTGTTTTATTAGTGTCTAGAGTTGTTAAAGGTAATAAAAGTATTTATTTATTAACAGATTCGGAGCAGCAATGTCACAGTTTTCATGTAATATCTTTCTTGTGTTGCAGATCCAAGGACAGCCAAATGGCCTCTGATGAGCAGTCCGCTCCCAACGTTAGCAATATGTCTGACCTATGTCTATCTCGTAAAAGTTTTGGGTCCTAGAATAATGGAGAATAAGAAACCTATGGAACTGAGGAATGTGCTGATTTATTACAATTTTTTTCAAGTTTTATTCAGCTTATGGCTTTTTTGTGAGGTGAGCAACGTCACACTTGAAGTTTTCTGTGCCTTCTCTCGTCTTACTCATGTTTAAAAGGTGTTACCATCTTATGTACGCGATTAACTTTCAGACATTCTTAATTTTGTGTAATGAAATATTATGTCAGCGCTCTCACGACTTTTTATAAAGCAGAATAGAAATGCACCTACAGGTTGGACAAATTTCTGTGGCCACGCCCCTCTTAAAGTAGTTGTTTTAATCTGAGTTGGTCCTGGAATGCAGCGACAAAATGCTCAAACAAGCGCCGAAGCTTCGGAGGTGCGATCGGAAAGTTTCAAGACTGTGCATATAAAAACCTGTACACTTATCTCAGGTATTACATTCATCCATCACCCTCGAAGTAGTTCCCCTGGGAGTGAACACAACGATCCCAGCGCCGCTGCCAAGCCTGGAAGCATCCCTGGAAATCTTTCTTTGTCAGCCTGTCAAGCACCATCTGCGATTCTGCCTGAATCTCTTCTATCGTCTCAAATCTCCTTCCCTTTAGCTGAATTTTCATCTTTGGGAAGAGGAAGAAGTCACACGGAGCTTAGAAAGGAAGTTGGGGTCGGTTCTTGCAAGATCTTTGAGCTCCTGACAAACGAGAAGTCGATTCTGCTTCTGGTCCTCAGACAGGATGCGTCGCATGTGGAGTTCTTCCTTTAGAATCAGCTGACAGGTCCCATAGCCTATCCCAACAATGTCGCACAAGTCGTTGATGGTACGACGTCGATCTTCGTAACTTTTTCGGGCGTTGTGCTCGAAGATGGTCGTCCAGAACGCTCGTCATCATCGACAGAGGTTCGGCCGGCCCTTTTTAAAACGTGAATGCCACACAAAAGTTTGCGGACTCCCCAAATGTTTGCTTTAGCATTTCATAGGTTTCCTTAGCCGTTTTGGCGAGTCTTTGGCAAAATTTGATGCACACGCCATTCCGAAATCGCAGGAGGGTCGGTGTAATGCACTACCAAAACGCCCGTAACTAAGAAACAAATGCTAATTCGATGATGCCGGCTGGCACACTGATTCACTATGAATGTAGGCCGCACCCCCTAGCGGCAGAAGCTCGTACTACATCCGGTTCGCCCTCTATTGACACAGTCTTGAAACTTTCCGATCGCACCTCGTATGATAACCCATTTACTGATAACGAATTTGTAAGGCAAGTCTGGCTAACACGTGCATCGAAAAATTTGAAAGTTTTCTAAAAATACAATTATTCACCGTTTCAAAGATCTGCTCGCCAGTCGAAACAAGGTGAAAGACAGATGATTAAAACAACCGAAGACGTCCACAAACAACTACGAATGGATTTATATTTTTGCATTTATTTTCCAGTTTATCTCGCACAAAAGTCTCGTCATCTCTTTCGGCCATCATATTTCGGTCTCTGAGAGATAAATAATTCCGTAAAAGATTTTAAAGCACATCACCAGCTTTCCGAGTCTCAAAAACGCGTAGCTAAGTCCCCAAATAGTTTCTGTTACCACTGTCTCTCTAGTCTGACTGGCTAAGAAGACGGATTTGTATTGTTATCCACAAAGTAAGTAACTCCACTGTAACTTCTCACTGCATTGTTTATCAACAAGCAAGTCACCATGAAAGACGTAAAGACATTATTCACAAAAATTAACTAACTTCTTTGCTTCGCGCAGTTAAAATGAACGCCAATTTAACTTGCTTCTGAAAGAGGTTAATTCAACAGTGTTCTTGGGTCTCCATACGTCGCGCGGAGCGGAGTCCTCCAGGGTCATCATCAGTCGCTTGTGAATATTTCATGGCATTCAGTCGCCTTTACAGTCCGACTGAGCTCACAGTGAGCACCATTACTTATAATTAAATCTGTGCCATCACTCTCTCTGTCTTCTGATTTCTGCGCAGAACACCGATACATTTTATCAACGAAAAGTATCACAATACGAATAATCAAGTTTATTCTCGTCATATCTCTAGGAACGTCTTCTCTTTTCCTGTTCCAAGCATCTCCTCCTATTCTCCTTAATGGCGGTATCGCACTAGGATGCCATGGCAGCGACACCAACAGCGATGCTATGGCGTCCAGCTGCCAGAAAAAGACGCCAGACAAGCTGCCAGCTTTCGACGCCAGTCGAGCGAACAGATGGATCGACATTATGAGATCACGAAATGAAGGGCTATTAGCAAGGAGAAATGTTCACTTTTATCACTTTTGAGAAAATGAGATTTACCTTTATCAAAACTACATACCTGGAGTGAATTTCAATTCCGTAACAAAGAAATAGGTAAAAAAAATTCTCCATACACACACTTTGCACGTCCATACCATTATTGAATTTGAAATATTTCAGTTCTTGCAAATCACATGTAATATTACATGAACAAACTTTATTTAATAAAACATTATAAAAGCAGGTTTCTTCTTAATTCACATTATTTGTGATATATAGATTGCTAAACAAAAAACCTTAAAAATCAAGTTTCCATATTGGAAAGCGGCCCCACAAATAAAGCCATAGAAACACTTCTTAGCTAATTCTTTCTTTTCTACTGTAAATAAATCTCCTCCAAATATTTCCACAAGTTCTACCCAGTTTCTTTTTTTCAAGTCCCGGTTTGCGTATTCAATAGCAGATGAATCCCACAGTCGGGACTGAATTTCAATTATCAATCTTTCGGTGTCGAAATTGTCCCTGTTTGGAAGAAACAGAAATACACACAAGCACATTCACGCACGGACGTCAATGGACTGGCCAGACTGTGATGTGATGTTGATTTGGCCTTGGCCGTGGCAGCGATGCCAATAGCATTTGAACTTGGCATCTTGGTTGGCAGCGATTCCAAGTTGGAAGCGCTGCCAGACGGATGCCAGGTGCGATATATGACTACTAAATTAATGCATTCAGTTTGGCCGAGATGCTGGCAGCTGCGCCATGGCCTCCCGTTGGCATCCTAGTGCGATACCGCCCTAACTCTTTCTTCTTTTCACAGTCTTCACGTCTTCACGTGGACCCGATCACAGTTCCAAAGTATCTTCGATCATCGTCCTCATGTTCCTGGTTGCAACTGAAGTGACGAAAAACCTAATTCAACAGCAGGCCTGCCTTTCTGCTGAATCGAGGTTTCATATCTTGAAACCAAGCTTTCTCATGGTGACTGTTCCTTCTCCTCTCAACGATGTAAGCGTTTGTGTCAAGAAAGTCGTATTTTTCCATTGCCGTACAAAGATTAAAAAAGCAATGCTTCATTGCATCCGTCTTGCGTTGATTCTCATGGGCCAAATACTCGTGTGGTCGGTTTCCTCATGCTGACTGCACAGTGTCCCACTTAACGTGGAACCCACCACGACAAAATGTCACTGTAGCAGCGAGCGAACTACCGGCGAATGGTTTAGACAGAACACAGAACCCAGACGTCGTACGGTGGTAGATGGGTTCTGAGTTACGTGGGACTCTACAGTGTGTGATTAATGTATTTAAAACTTGAAGCATGGAAAATAAGACCAAAAGATAGATCCTGTTGGAATTTTGACGAATTTCTCGTTATGAGACGGCTCATTTGTCCGTCATTGCGGACAGAAAGAACTGCCTGGTTTTTACTTCGATTTAAATAAACCGAACCTCAGAATAACCTCTGAGTTGCATATTTTTGCAGGACGATTACAAAAGCACACAACACGTCTAACTGTGCTTGCCTCGGACCACGTATCGCAGAAATGTTGTATCAAATTTGCTGTTCTTCACGGATTAAATAAAATATCGAGTAAATTTATGATGTCCGGGTTTCATTATCTGCCGCTAGTCGCCAGTACCAAACTGTTGTGGAAAACTGATCTAGAATATTTGGAGCAACAGACAATACCATCTAGTTATAGAAACATCTGAAGAAAGGTCATTTATTTAAAAAAATAAAATCCAAAAAAATATTTTGTATGATTATTTTGTCTGTATGAAATTTGAGATTTTTAAGGTGGTGATAATGTGGATTATGGTCTTCTGGATTGTGATGTCATGTACTCCTGTAGGTGGTTACCAACATTTCACAGGAATATATCTCCTTTATCTTAAAATTTTTTCTTTCATAAGTGTCTCGAACAACCAATTTCCACTCAAGTTTTCATCATGGCAGACAAGAAATTATTTAATGAAACTGAATTTTGTTGGCCCAGGACAGGGTCCGGTGGAGGGCTTTGGTTAATTCGGTGATGAACCTTCGGGTTCGGTAAGCCATTTGTTAGTTAGTTAGTTAGTCGCCAGTACCGCTGTTAAGAATTTTAAACGTCCAAAAATAACTGACGTGCAAAATTTCCAGCTGCGCAGATTACCCCCCCCCTTCCCCTACCAATGCTCTTAAAGACACTCGCTCGCTGCCAGAACTGCAGTCTGAGAATAATCTACTTTAACGTGTTAAATTATTTCGATTATCAATTCAGTACAGTGATTATTAAGTGTCGAATACAAATTTTCAGAGTCGTATGCGAATTCTGAGTCAGAACAAATTTAGGAGACTTCAGGAATAACATATCTTAATTACTACTCCAACATTACAACGCTGTGTGACTGAGGAAAACAACAAATTTCGAAATGAAATACAGTTGGCCACAACAGGAGGGAAATTCGAACCTTCGGTCCTGAAAAAGTAGCTACTTGCAACTCTTTCTGCATTATCAAGACGTCTGAGGAAAATCTTTCCGGCACTGCCCACAACGTGAGAGCAGATTCATACCTGGCCGCGAGGTGCAACACGGTGCAACCCTCGAGGTCCGTGTCTCGTAGGCTACAAGCGGTGTGCTGCAACAACCATTTGAGGGCGCCCAGCTGTCCTATGACAGCCGTATCGTGCAACG